ACCCGTAGGTGAGGCGCATGGCACTCGTGGGGATGGGCGAGGAGCAGAGGCCGGCTTGGAGCCGTGCCGCCGGGTGAGGCGTGCCCTTTTGAAGCCCATCGCTTCCAGTTAGGCTCCCCAGTGGCTTCTCTGCACAAGGGGTTTTGGCTCCGTGCAGCCGTTTGTGAGCTGTTGCAGGAGAGGAGGGTGTGAGACTTGAGCCCAGACACGGAAGGCTCTACCTGCAGTTTGTCATGAGGGCCCCGTCATGCTCTTGTGCAGACCCATCTATCTACAGCTAAAGCACTGCTGAGAGCCACTACCCGGCCTGTAGCCTTAGACTTAAACCTGACACAAAGCAGTGGCGTGCTCCATCCCATCCTCAAAGGCTCCATTGCATCCTCGGAAGCGGCTTCGGTACCAAAGAGCCCGCTGCTGAGCCAGAGCTTTCCTCTTCCTTGGTCCAGCTGATTTCCAAGTGTCACTGTGAGCTGTAGTCAGCCCTCAGCCTGGATCTGCTGGATGGGGCTCGCTGCGGCTGGGCCAGTTGCCCAGAAGGCCAAAGGGGCAGCTCTGTGGTGCCCGGGTTTGACCTGGCAGGAATTAAACCCAACTGATTGACTCTGCAGACACTCAGACTCAGCAGAGAGGTGCAGAAGCACTGGGCTTAAGTGGACTTGAGCGTGGCTTTTTTGTGTTCCTTTTGTTACTTGTCAGAGCCAGTGGGTGAAGTTAGACCTGTGGAGAACTTCAGCTGCTTCCACTGGAGGTTCAGGTTGGCTTTGTGGGCGGCAGGGAGGATCAGTTTGTGAGAGCTGCTGGAGCTGTAGGGTTTTAGTGCAGGAAACGTTCCAAACACTTTGTTTCATGGAGCGGTCATTGCTGATGTCAAACAGCATCATCGCATCTGGGTTCTGCTTCCCCAGCCTGCATGGGGTGGCTGGAGTAGTCGCCTGTTTCCACTGTCCTGCCCTCGTGGACCTCAGGATGATGGGGTCACTGGTCCCATCCTGGTTAGGCAGTTGTTGTCAGCCTTTGTTCTGTGTCCTCCTCACTCGAGGCGCTTCATTAGGGACAGTTTCACACTGCACTGGTGGTGGTTGTGGCACGGTGACACCTCTGATGAGTGAGGAACACTTTGGTGCTGCTGTATCGGAGATTATAAAATCACAGAGTGGGTGGTTTGGGTTGGAAGGGACCTTAAAGCTCCTCCAGCTCCAACTCCTGCCACGGGCAGGGACCCCTTCCACTGGAGCAGCTTGCTCCAAGCCCCTGTGTCCAACCTGGCCTTGAACACTGCCAGGGATGGGGCAGCCACAGCTTCTCTGGGCACCCTGTGCCAGTGCCTCAGCACCCTCACAGGGAAGAGCTTCTGCCTAAGAGCTCATCTCAGTCTCCCCTCTGGCAGGTTAAAGCCATTCCCCTTGGCCTGTCCCTCCAGGCCCTTGTCCCAAGCCCCTCTCCAGCTTTCCTGCAGCCCCTTCAGGCACTGGAGCTGCTCTCAGGTCTCCCCTTCAGGAGCCTTCTCTTGTCCAGGCTGCCCCAGCCCAGCTCTCTCAGCCTGGCTCCAGAGCAGAGCTGCTCCAGCCCTCGCAGCAGCTCCATGCCCTCTTCTGGCCTCGCTCCAACAGCTCCAGGTCGCTCTTGTGTTGCATTCTGATGCTGGGATGTGCTGCTGCTGCCAGGTGACCCAGCGTGCTGGGTCTGCTGCTTTCCACTCCTTGGTGCCCATTCCCAAGGGATGGAGCCAACTCTGGCGACTGCAGGGGCAAACCATGGGCTTCTCCAGGCTGGGGTCTTTGTGGCCCGTGTTGTCTTTAACCAGAAGCAGGTCTCCAGGCTCTTTTCCCCATCCCTTGAGCTCATCTAAACCCAATGATTAGGTTCTCTTGGTCTCTCTACCCTCTGTTGCTCTTTGGCCTGTGGAGATGACTTGGATTGGGTAACAACCTCTGCCTTTGCCTTAGGACTCAGAGGCCTTCATTGCACAAAGCCTGAAGTCTTTTAGCTGCTTCCTGGGGTGCAGCATGATGAGGGTCTGAGCATCCCAGTGCTGCCTGTGGGATGGAGTGGAGATACCATGAAATGTGGTACCTTGAGCCAGGCCACGGAGAGCATCACGAGCTCAGTGTGGTCTGTGGCAGCTCAGCAGGGAGGATGGGGCAAGCTGGAGCGGGCTTGCCCGAGGAGGAGCCATGACACCTTGTCCCAGCAGGAGAGGACTTCTGCTGGGAGAAGATCAGGCACTGCAGGAAGAAAGGAGGCTTCCTTGGGGGGTCTGGGTGGTTTTGGAGAGGAGCGGGCTGATGGTGCCCCAGTTTGGCTGTTGTGGTTTCCTTGCCCAGGCTGTGATGGTGCTGGCGTTGGTTTTGGGGTCAAGGCCAAGGCCAGGGCTTCTGTTCAGTGTCAATAGCTGTGACCTTGCCACTGGGGCAGCAGCCGTGTGGCACCGTGTCCCTGTGGGCACTGACCACGCTGTCCCCTTCTCCACAGTGACCACCACCAGCCCCATGAAGACTCTGTACGTCATGTCGGACGCCAAGCTGTCTGCACTGACCAAGTCTGTGTTGGCTGAGGCTACCTCTGTTCCCCTCAAGCTGCCGAGCATCCAGCCTTCCTCCTCCTCCTCCTCTGCCACTGGTGCTGTCACCCTTGCCAGCACCCCCAGCCCTCCCGCCAGCCTGGTGCACTCGAAGGTCCTGCAGACTGCTTCCAAGACGGTCATCCTGACCTCAACACTGGCCACGGTGAAGGGTGATGGACCCCTGGGACACGTCGGGGAGAAGGTCAGCTTGACCAAGAGCGCTGCAGCCCTCGGCCATGCTCTGGGGGCAGTGGAGACCCTGGGGAGGGTTCCCTCTGTGGTGGACGAGGGGAGCACCATCATCCACAGCAGAGAGGCTCTGGCCAGCAGACAGCTGCTGTCCCAAGGGGTGCTGCCAGGAGGGGCTGGCACCACGCTCATAACACTGGGCAGCAGCTCCTCCATCATCGCCACGGCAGGGCCCACGCTCGGGCAGAAGCCGTAGGGACCCCCCGGGATCCCTATGGATCCACAACGGGCATTTGGGAAGACTTGAGCTCGACTGTGGAGTGGGATTGGAGCAGCCCCACGGGCCAAGCTTGGGCTGGAGCAAAGCGGGGGGATGTTCAAGTGGTTTTGTTGCTGTTTAATAAACCTTTCTTTTTCTTGTTCTCTACTCCCCTCATTGCCCACGTCCCTTCCCAAAGCACCTTCAGGGTATCCCAGCCCTTGCCTGCTTTTCCCAGCAGCTCGTGTTTGAAAGGAGAGAAGCAGCAGAAGGGCCCTGAGCCACAAAGTGGGTGCTGAGATGATGAGGTGAGGCCGAGCTGGGCACCATGGTTTGGATAAATGTGTTCCCCCCACAGCAATTCACATGGCTGTGAATTGGTTTCTGTGGGAAGCGGGGATAATCCCGATGCTCTGTGTGTCTCCATCCCATCCGGCAGCTCTGCTGCACCCTGAGCACTTGAATCCTGCTTCCCAAAAGGAATGTGGGGAGTGATGCAGCATTTGCTGGCCAAGATGCTTTCGGGGAGCACAGTTCCCAGTGGCATTCACAGTGCCGGGACAGCCCCGAGGGCAGCATGTTGCTGACATCTCTGCTCGCTTCCTCATCCTGATGCTCATGAGAAGATCCCATTTTTGGCCCAGCTTGGCCAGGCCAGGACCCACCATGGCAGGAACAGGGAGCAGCCTGTGGTTTGGGAATCATTCCTAAAAAGAGCAGGAGAATAAGAGTTTTCCTTGAGGAGGAGGAGGAAGATGCTGCGAGTCCTTCCCTACCCCTCCTGGGCTACACATGCGCCACTCCGGATCCTGTCTGGCTGTTGGGGACTGTCCCCCTTTGCCTCCATTGCCACCACCATGAAGAGCAGCAACCTTGAGGGTCTGCTGTTGACCTGAGCTGTTTTTAACAGCTCAACCATCTCCTCCAGGCTTGAAGTCACAGTTCCTCAGCTGCAATGACAATAATAAAGCTCAGGGATGTGGCATCTCCAGTGGCCTCGTTGCCAGGCGCGGATGAAGCTCTCCATGGGGAGACCCCAGCTCCATGCCTGTGTCCATGAACCCAGGTTCATGGGATGTGTTCTGGCAGAGAAGCTCCTGGGGTTCACCTGGGGTGGTCTGCAGTGTCTGTAAAGCCTTTCCAACATCCAGGCTTGGAGGATCCAGGAGTGGTTGGGACCTTGGTGCTGCTCTTCCCAAGTCATGGAGAGACCGGTGCTGCATGGGGCTAATTCTCCTCTTTCAATTTATACCCCAAAGCTTTTCCTTTCCATGGATACAGCAGAATTGGTGCTTAGAAGCTGACTTAACAGCTCCTGCTCCACCTGAAGGTGTAATGTTCACAGGTGACAAACAAGTGCTGCTGTTGTCTGTCCTGCCTGGCTTCAAGGGCACCAACCAGGACAGTGGTGAGCGGATGCATCCTGTAGCTCCAACAAAGCCCCTGGGTCACTTGCAACAGCTCGATGGGAGCTCCTCGAGGCAAAAAAGCACCGTGAAAGAGCTGCAAGTCCCCCAAACCTGATGCAGAAAAGCCCCTCCAGCCCCATGGCATCACCAAATGCCTCTGGGGTCACTCCAGATCCAGGGATGCCCCCAAACCCTGCCCCGATCCAAGGACATCCCAAGCCCCGCTAGGTCAGAACCATCCAGCATCTGGTCACTGCCTTTGCCCCTGTGGCCAGTCGAGGTGTGGGGCAGACACCCAACATGGTCCCAGCCCCTGAGGAACCCCTGGGGCTGGGATGGAGGCACCTTGTGAGGGTGCTGAGGCGCTGGCACAGGGTTCCCAGAGAAGCTGTGGCTGCCCCATCCCTGGCAGTGCTCAAGGCCAGGTTGGACACAGGGGCTTGGAGCAAGCTGCTCTAGTGGAAGGGGTCCCTGCCCATGGCAGGGGTTGGAACTGGATGAGCTTTAAGGTCCTTTCCAACCCCAACCATTCCATGATTCTATCCCTGGCAAAATAGAAACCTCCACAACTATTTTGCTCCCCTTTTTTTTTTATGTGTGTATGTATCTCTCTCTATATATAATATATATAACCTTGTGCTATTGGTAGTTAAGTCACCAGCATAACAAAGTGGATACAAACAGCTCTAAGATCAAGAGTAAAAATGACACGCTCCAGATTGTCTCCTCTCAGTCCCTTTGTTGCCACAGGCTCTGAAGCAGTCGCAGCATCCCAGCCTCCCTCCTCCACAGGGAACGAGGCTGATCCAGCCCGGGATAGCATCACTACAGCTTGGCATGGCGATGGAAGGCCGGTACGTGCCGGGGGGTGTAAGGGGCTTGGCTTTGCCACGTCGCTGCCGGGTAGTGCCGGTGCCGCAGCGAGCTCTCGTAGGACACCGTGTAGTGCCTGGGGCCGGTGCCCAGGTCGGAGGTGGCCACCAAGGGGCTGGGAAAAGCGGGAATGATGAAGGGATTGATGGAGAGGGACGGTGCCACCGGCACCCCTTGGGTTTTGAGGTGCTCCAGCGGGCTCCCAAAGCTGCCCGGGAAATGCAGCATCGCTCCCTTGTAAGCGTCCGGGGCTTGCGGCAGCGGCGCGGCGTAGCCAGGGGTGGCCACCACGGCCTTGGGCTTGGCCAGCCCTTGCTGCCGCCCCGTGTCCCTGCCGTCAGCCTCCTTGATGAAGGGGGGCACAGCCCGTAACTTCACGCTGGGGCTGAAGGTTGCCTCCTCCTCTTCCTCCTCTTCCTCCTCCTCCTCCTGCTCCCGGCTGCGCTTGCCCCTGGCGGGGGTGAAGCTGGCGCTGGGGGGCACCCAGCACCCTTTAACCGTGGCCACTTGCTGCCTGTCACCACTCCACGGCTGCCCCGCTTTGCTCCGCAGGTCTTGGGGCTGCTCCTGCTCCTTGGCTCGCGGTGGGCAGGAGGAAGGGGGCTCCAGGAAGTCCTTCAAGCTGGAGAAGCACCCCCAGAGCGGGGGGCAGCGGCCGGGAGGCAGCACCTCGCTGCGGTACGCATGGAAACAGCCGGTGAAGACAGCGGGCACCGGGCCTCCCTCCTCGGCCCGAGGGCAGGGCTGGCTGTCTCTGCCGGAGCGGGATGTGCCCGTGATGGGTCCCACCTCGCTCCTTGGGCCGGGAGCTGCATCCCGAGCTCCCGCCGGCTCCGGGCTCCTCTGCTCATCGAGGTGGGAGCTGGTGGCGGCCAGGGGCTTGGGGCTGGCGCCAGTGTCACCGTTGGGGTGTTTGGGGCAGTGCAAGGACTCTGCCCTGCTCACCTGGGCCAGCAGCTTCTTCTTGGCCAGCGGGGACATGATGGGGTGGTTGCCTTTGGAGGCGAAGCTGGAGAAAAGGCGCTTGTAGGTTTCGCTGTGGGTCCTGCAGGGGTCAGGACACCCCCCCGAAGGGCTCAGGACCACCGGGCTGGAGCATCCTTCTGCCACCCGGCCCCGCTCTGCATCCTCCAGGCCGGCTCCTGCCTCTTGCTTTGCCTTATCCGGAGGCTGCAGGGAAAGGAGATGGGGATGTGGTGGCCGGGCTCCCTGAGCCCCTCTGTTCTCCTCCCTTCCCAACCAGCCACATCCCTCCTTGCTCTTTTCCAGGCACCCCAACAGGAGATGGGTGCTCCCAGGGCTGCTCCCAAACCAGAGCCAGGCTAGGAGGGGGGGCACCGTACCTGCTCCCGGCCCTTCTCCTTCTTGCCCCTCTTGCCTTTCTCGCCCGTCTCGGTGCCCTTGGAGACCTTGTACTGCTTGCGGGGCTTGCTGGGGGGCAGAGGTTTGTCATCCTCCCCCTTGAGATGCCGCACGTACGGGAGGACCAGCCTGTGGTGGTGGTGGTGTGGGGGGGGAATGCAGCAGTGAGAACCAGCACCGGGAGGGGAAACTGAGGCACGGAGCCGGCCCCTCCTGTCCCTACCTCTCGTAGTGACGCCGGGTGCAGGTGGCAGCGCTGGTGCTGCCGGGGCTGCCCCCGAGCTCATCGTAGACGTTCTTCCAGAGCCGTCGCCCCGTCACCTGCAATGGGAGGGGATGGGTGAGCATCACCCCCCCCAAGGGACATCCCGGCGCTGGGGGACACACACACACACATCACTCACCAGCTCATAGGCCCCCAGCTTCTCCACGGCTTTGTAGATCTTCCAGAGGTTAACTGGGAATAGAGAGGAGATGCTTGGGGTCAGGGGGATGCGGGGCAGGCACCGGCAGCTCCTCCACCCCCGGAGGGGGACGACGACACGTACTCTGCTTGAAGCCGAGGTGGGGGATCCTCTCGATGGGCGTGTGTCGGTCCTTCATGAACTTGTAGAGGCTGATGAGGAAGGCTTCCTCCTCCTCTTTCTCCTTCTCCCCGCTGCTCGTTGCTTCTTCCATCGGCTTCTCCTGCTCGGAGCCATCCCCAGCGACCGGAGCCTCCTGTGGGACACGGTGATGAGGCAGCATCGCAGCACCCCATGGGGCCGCTTCTTAAAAGCATTTAATGAGCTCTCCGTTCGTTAACAGCAGCCCCGGGACCAGCGCCAAGTTGGTCAAAGCACTGGAATGGGGCGAGAACACGAGGAACAGCTTCCAGGAAAACAGACGGGCAGGAATTCCCCCCCCTCCCCTCCCCTTTCCCTCCTCCTTTCTCCATTAAAAACGTTCCTCGTTTGTTTGTTCCACATTTTCCGGAGTTAGAAAACTTGTTGCTATTTTTGGGCAAAGCAGCTGCTCGGCTCCCAAAGTCCTTTTATTGTGTGTGTGTGTGTGGGGGGGGGCTTTTTTTGCCCTTAAATTCTTCTTTTTTAGGCTCGCGGCAGACGTGGAATTTTCAGGGCACTATTTTAAGGCTTTGGTTTAGTTTGCAAGAGGGGAAAAACAACGTTGGAAGGGGGGGGAAAAACCACCCATTTCTATGATAAACCCCCTTTTCTGTCAAAAATCAGACCCATTTTTCACCCCCAAACCCACCTTTTTTTGGCTGTTTCCCCCTCTCTTCTTCATTGATGCTTATATGGGGGGGGGGGGGGGTGTCAGCATCCTTATCCAACTCACCGGTCCAAGGGGCTCTTGGGGGGCTCGGGGCTGCGCTGGGGTGTCCTCCATGGGGAGACGGGGGGGTTTAGGAGGGGTTCTGGATGGGGGGAAGAAGGGGAGGATCAGACCCCCTAAATTTAAGGCTAAATTAGGGGGATTTGGGTCACGGTGGGGTCCACCAGGCACCGAAATCGGCCCAAGCCGATTTCGGTGCCTGGTGGACCCCACCGTGACCTTAAGGTGCTCCCTTGTGTTCACCCCCCCCCCAAATTTGGGGTACCCCCCCCCTTGACACCCCAAATTCAACCCCCCCCCCTTTTCCCACGCCGCTCCCGCTCACCCACCGCCGGCGCGCCATGTGATTGCAGGGCGCGCCCGCGGGGCGGAGAGGCCACGCCCCCCCTTCCGCCCTCCTATTGGCCAGCGCCGCCACGCCCCCTTCTCCTATTGGACAGAGGGGCCGCTCGTCTTCCCGCGCCTCCCGCCCCGCTCTAAGCCCGGCAGGGAGTTGTATTCCCGCGTGTGCACACGTGTGTGCGTGTACATGCGTGTACATGCGTGTTCACACATGTATGTTCAGCTGCTGGCGTGTCTCTCTACATGTATCAAGCGTGTTCACGTGTGTGGGTAAGCACACATGTGCCCGTGTGGACACGCGTGCCCTGGCGTGTTCACGCACACGTGAGTACACGCTTATGTACATGTATGTGCGGGTGAATACATACATGTGAGCGCCCTCATGGGGCAGCTGGGCACGTGTGTAACGCGGCTACACGTGAGCACATGCATGTGGGTGCGTGGGGGGGGCACAGCCTGTGCTCTCTGTGTGTGTGTGTGTGTGTGCGCACAGGTACATGTGATGTACATGTATGTCATGTCCCTACATGCCCCAGCTGTGATTGCATGTCTCAGACACAGTTCCCGGCACCGCTGACGTGATTTCCTCATGCAGGAAAGTGTAGTGTGTGTTCGGAGGGGGGGGATTAGGGGCGAAGTGATGATCCCGGGGGTCTTTTGGGGTGAAAATCAACCAGTTTGGGGCTAAAAACACCCGGTAAGTGACTGAGCCGCGTCTGGCTCTGACTGAGCCACTGGGGCTGTAATTAAACTTAACGTGATCACAATTAACGGTGCTGGGCTGAGACCGACCCAACTCATCCCATGTCGTGTCCCCCCCTCAAAGCCCCGCACACCCCTCGGTGTCCCTTAGGGGCTCGCTCCCCTTCCTGCCCCCCCCCCCCCCCCCCCCAGCTCCGTTTACCCTCATTTTGGCTCTTTTCGCCCCAAATTCACATGGAAGTGCCCCGAGCGTCACGGCTCGGAATAGCTCCGGAGCCGCGCCAAGCCATGACGGCGGCTGAGTAATGGGGTTGAAGTCATCCCTTCCCCGGCCCCGGAGTGAAAATAACCCCTGACATCACCCAGCGCCTGCTGCGGAAGCGGGAGAAGGGGTTTTGGGGTGCGGGTGCCCCCATGGGGTGAAGCGGGATGGGGAGGGGGGGGCACCCCCTTTATCCCTCCTTGGCTTTGGGATTCGCACCCCCGGACGGGCTCCGCGCTTTGTGCTGAGTTCATGGGATGGGGCGAGGGGATGGGGACGGGTGGCGGGGAACGGGACCCCCCCCTTCCCCGCAACACCGGGACCGCACCCCCGCTTGTATCGGTACTCACCGGGTCCGGAGCGGTGTCCGAGCGGCTCATGGGGCGGCCGGAGGAAGAGCTCTGTGGCGGTGCTGGTGTAACTGGGGCTGAGTCATCCCCCACTCAGGGAAGTGGCGTCTTGGCGTGTGCGGGTGACTCTTTCGTTACCGGAACCGAGGGGTGTTTTGGGGTTCTCACCCCACCGCAGCCCCGCACCTCCCCGAATGACTGCACCGGACTTTCCAGCTCAACCCGCTCCCCTCGGTGCTGGCGATGCGGTGGCAGCGCCACCGGCAGCGGGGCTTTGGGGATACGGATGGGGACCCTTGGGTGGGATGCTCGTGGGGATGCGGTCCTGGTCCCCCTGCTTCGCTGGGCACCATCCTGCAAGCGGGGATGGAGTCACCGGTGTGCCCAGGGCTGAGCAGCATCTGTCGATAGGGGATGAGTCACCGGTGTCCTCGGGGCTGAGAATCACCCTGCAAACAGGGATAAGGCCACCAGTGTCCCCCGCAAAGGGAGATGGAGTCACTGGTGCCCCCAGAACTGAGCATCACCCTGTCAATGGGGATGAAGCCATTGGTGTCCCCAGAGCTGAGCATCACCAATGGGGACAGGGTCCTTGGGGCTAAGCATCGTCCGGCAAACAGGGATGGAGTTACTGAGGCTGAGCATCACCCTACAAACAGGGATGGAGTCACCAGTGTCCCCTGCAAAGGGGGATGGAGTCACTGGTGTCCACAGAGCCGAGCATCACCCTGCAATGGAGCCCTCTGCATCACTTGGGCACTGGGTACCACTTTCCAGGGACACTTGTCCCTTGTCCCCAGCTCAGGCATCTCAACCCCATGGGACCGAAGCCACCCATAATCAAGGGATCTCCAAGGGGCTGGAAGTGGAGAGCACCCATTGGTGCTCAACCCCATAGCAGCCTCCCGAGAATCCCCCCCCGCCCCGGGCCGGTTTGTGAGAGAGTCCTGAGAAACTCAAAGAGAAATCCCCCAGTGACTCATTTGGGGCCAACAGTTGGAGAAAGCAGAAGCGGGGAGGGGAGGCCCGTGGGGGGCATCTGCCTCCTGTGTCCCCCCCCTTTTGGGGCTGGAAAAGGGGGTGAAGGAACACGAGGTGCCATTGACCCTCTTGGTGCAGGAGCGCGCCCGCAGCCACCTCAGTAAGGATGTGATTTGGTGAAAACAGACAAAACCCCCCCCAAAACCTCCCCTATTTGGGGTTTTATCCAGTTTCTGTTCGAGCAGAATGGGAGGGGGCTGGAGCTGGGGGTTCCTCGCCTCAGTTCCCCCTTGTAGATAGTGGGAGCTCGGCTCCCACTGGGAATACATTGGATTCCAGGGTGCTGGGGATGCTGAGGGTCCCCGGTGGGACCCGGCCCCAGTGCGATCTGCTCTGATGGGAGGGAGAAGGGGAATTACTGAGGTTGGAAGAGGTGAGGTGAAAGGGGTCGGGGCTCAGCCAGGGTGCAAAGCCCAGCGTTGGCTGCAAAGGGAAGGGAGAAGGAAAAGGAGAAAGGGAAGGAGATGAAGGAAAAGGGAAAGGAAAAGGAAGAAGGAAGAAGGAGCTGCAGGATCAAAGCCTGGCTGTTGGTGCCGGGTTGGGCAGCTCCGGTGGCTCCCGCGTCCCTTTGGAGCACAGACCATGAGGGTGGGTTCGTTATTCCACTTGGGATTGTGGAGCTCCTGGGGTTGATCCCATTGCGTGCTGCAGCCACATCAGCACCCGGGTTCCGTGTTTAAGGGGTAGAAACCACCTTGATTTGGGGGAGCAGCCAGAGCTGGATCCCTTTGGGTGCTGCTGGGGGGGTGGGTGGGTGCCCCCATTGGGAGGGGGCTGCAAACGAGGTGTCAACAGCTTACCCCCCCCCAAGCATCAGCCTGACCATGAGGGGCTTTGCATGCAGGGTTAATTAGTGGGGCACTAATAAGGTTTAATGACCCCACCTGGGGTGACCCAGCACACGTGGGACCTATCTAAGCTCAGCCACAGAGCCTGGTGCTGTGGATGTATGGATTCATGGGGTTGTGCGTAGAAAAGAGAAAGAAGAGGGAAAAGGATGGGATGAAGGGGAAGGAGATGGAGAAGAGGAGAAGGGAAAGGATGGGATGAAGGAAAAGGAGAAAGAAGAAGGAGATGGAGGAAAAGGAGAAGGGGAAAATGAAATCCTGGAGCCATAAAGGACCGTGCACCCGCAGAGGGATGCTGGGTACCCCCATAAGACCCCTTTGGTGGGATGCAGGGGGTGAGCACAAGGGTGGGATGTGACGAAGCATCAGTGTCTCCTTTTGGCACCTCGGTCTCATGGCACCTCCTGCGCGGGCCGGGGCAGCCCCTTCCTGCCGCAGAGGGAGGAGGAGGAGGAGGAGGAGGAGGAAGAGTGATGCTGCTGTGATGCTGTGAGGGTGCTCGTGCTGCAGCGCCGGCCCCAGGACCCCGTTCTCCGCATGGAGGTGCCCCCATGGCTTTCCTCCGCAGGCTCTTTGGCTTTGGGGGGAAGAAGAAGCCCCCGAAGCAGCACGAGCACATCAGGAGGGACGTGGACCCCGAGGAGACCTGGCTGCTGCTGGGGGAGCTGGGTGATGGCGCCTTCGGCAAGGTCTTTAAGGTAGGAGAACCCCCAGGACCCCACCGGGGCCCTGTGGCAGGGTCCGTGCACATCATCGCTGGTCCCCATCCCTGTCCCTTGGCACGGGGACAGCCGCCGGCTCGGGAGCTGTGGGTGCTTGAAGCCTCGGTTGGGTGAGGGGCTGAGATGGGAGGTTCTAACCCAAAACCACAGCGAGGAGCCCGAGCGTGGCAGGAAACCCAACGTCGGGCGCCTTCCGGCACCGGTGGCTCGGTGATGGGTCTGCTCCTGTGGGGCCTGCCCCAGCCTCACTGGGAAGAGCTTCCTTAAATCCAACCTGAAGCTCCCCTGTTTCAGTTGGAACCCATCACCCATCGCCCCTTGTCCTGTCGCTCCAGTCCCTGATGAAGGGTCCGCACAGCATCCATACAAGTGGGATGCTCCGTGCTCTGGGACATGCAGGGTGGCATGGCCGCATCACACCGCGTGTGTATCACCCATGGGGTGACCACACATCCCTCTTCATCCCATCCCTGGTGACAGTGGGCTCCTGGTGTTTGCCTTGGTGGCACCAAGCACCGGGGGTGGGATGTGATGTGTCCAAGCTTCACCCCTCACCACAAACCATGGGGCTGCTGCTTTGGTACCCACATCAAACCTCCCCCCCCAGGCACAGAACAGGGTGACGGGGGTGCTGGCGGCCGCCAAGGTCATTGATGCCCCGAGCGAGGAGGAGCTGGAGGACCACGTGGTGGAGATCGAGATCTTGGCCTGCTGCGACCACCCCAACATCATCAAGCTGCTGGACGCGCTCTATTGGGACGGGCGGCTCTGGGTGAGTGCTGGTCCCACCATCAGGGCACGGACCATGGTCCCACCATCAAGGCATGGACGGGGGTCCCACCATCAGGGCATGGACTGGGGTCCCACCATCAGGGCATGGACGGGGGTCCCACCATCAGGGCATGGACGGGGGTCCCACCATCAGGGCATGGACTGGGGTCCCACCATCAGGGCATGGACAGGGGTCCCATCATCAGGGCATGGACCTGGGTCCCACCATCAGGGCATGACCACGGTCCCATCATCAAGGCATGGACCATGGTCCCACCACCAGGGCATGGACCGGGGTCCCACCATCAAGGCATGGACCGGGGTCCCACCATCAGGGCATGGACCACGGTCCCATCATCAAGGCATGGACTGGGGTCCCACCATCAGGGCATGGATGGGGGTCCCACCATCAGGGCATGGACCGGGGTCCCACCATCAAGGCATGGACTGGGGTCCCACCATCAGGGCATGGATGGGGGTCCCACCATCAGGGCATGGACCGGGGTCCCACCATCAGGGCATGGACCACGGTCCCGTCATCAAGGCATGGACTGGGGTCCCACCATCAGGGCATGACCACGGTCCCATCATCAAGGCATGGACCATGGTCCCACCACCAGGGCATGGACCGGGGTCCCACCATCAGGGCATGGACCGGGGTCCCACCATCAGGGCATGGACCCCAGCATCCTAGGGCTGGTGGACTCTGCCTGGAGGAGCACGTTTACAGACCAGGGCGGGGAACTTCTCCTTGCAGATCCTGGTGGAGTTTTGTCCAGGAGGGGCCGTGGATGCAGCGATTTTGGGTAACACCCCCCCCCCCCCCATTTTTGATGGTTGGTCATTGTGGGATTTGGGATGGGATGGCCAAATTCCATGGTGTGGAAGCGATTCCTGGCATCGTGCAGCATCTCCAGCAGGGAGGATGGGTTGGGATGCATCTTCCATTGGGTACCCCGGGGTTTGGGCCTCGTTGGCAGCGGGGTTCATTGGTGCTGATGGCAGGGCTGGAGAAGGGGCTGAGTGAGGAGCAGATCCGAGGCGCCTGCAGGCAGCTCCTGCTGGCACTGCAGTACCTGCACGGCTGCAGCATCATCCACAGGGACATCAAGGCTGGCAACGTCCTGCTCACCCTCGATGGGGACATCAAGCTGGGTGAGTCCCGGGGGTCCCAAAGGGCACAGGGATGCTCCAGGGATCATCTCCAACCGCTGCTTCCTGCTCTGCAGCTGATTTTGGGGTCTCGGCCAAGAACTCCAGCTCTGGCCAGCGGCGCGTGTCCTTCATCGGCACCCCTTACTGGTAGGTGTGTGGGGGGGGAATGCACAGGGATGCTGGGATGAGGGAGCCCAGGGGATGCTCACAACACCAGAAGCATCTCAAGGAATTTGATTGGAACCATGGAATCAATGGGGTTGGATCATCAAGTCCAACCATTCCCCAGCGCTGCCAAGGCCACCATTAAGAGCAAGAGGATTGTTCCTCTTCCAGTTAATGATGGCTTCGGGGTGGGCTTCTCAGTTGCATGAGGCTGTGCATGGGGAGGACACTGGTGGGTTCGAGGCCTCCCGGGGTAGCATTGGAAGAGCTGGGGTTGAATCTCAGCTCTTCTCTCTGCAGGGCTGTCACCTGGGTTTGGTGTCGGGAGGAGGCAGCAGCCCAGGGCAGGCTGGACACGTTCCCCTCTGTGCCATGCACAGGATGGCCCCGGAGGTGGTGCAGTGTGAGGTGTCCAAGGAGAGCCCCTACAGCTACAAGGCTGACATCTGGTCACTGGGCATCACCCTGATCGAGATGGCCGAG